TTTTTTTTTTGGTTCTTTTATTTTCGTTTTGTAATTTTCTTCGCTGTATTTCTGTGTCAGAGACTATCACACACCCAATCTCGTTCACTTTCTGTAAGACCTGAGCTGGGCTTTGTCTCCGGTTAGTTTCCCACCGGTTGCTACATTAGCCTCTCTCATTTCACCACGTCACCTCCCATTCATCCTTTTTATTTCATATTAAGAATTTAGGACACATACTGCCCTTTAACAAAAAATATTAAGTTTTTTTCAATATGTAGCTGAGTTAAAAGCTTTAAAAGAATTATTTAATTTATTACTTATGTAATAATTAAATTTAATTATATGATAACAGCACTAAAATTAATAGAAATTTTTATATTTTTTAATAAAAATTTATGATTAAAAAGTATTATTAATTTATATGTTTAAAATATAGATTAAAAAATTCAAAAAAATTTCATATTAAGAGATAATAATAACATTAATTAAAAAAATTATTTACCATAAAATATGAAAAATTAACTATTAATCTTAAATAAATTTTAAATAAAAAAATTATTTTTGGTAAAAAAATGTTATATTATTTAAATTATATTAAATAGCCCACCATAAATTATTAAATAAATAATAGATCCTAAAAGTTAATCTCCCGTCAAATAATTTATATTTACGTTTTGTAATATAATGGCAATATTCTACATGGTTGTTATATTTGCATAAGTATTTAAACCATATCACTTGAAAAAAATTAGAACATAAAAAAAAAAATTCACAAATTTATGTTTCTCTATTTCTCTTTTGTTATTTATAAAAAATATATATATATCTATATGGTAAATTTCTACTCCCTAATTGGAATAAAAATTAAACATACAAGAACAGAATACGACGGCGTCAAGGCTGCATGATGTAGGATGACGATTTCATTGATGACCCAACCACTCCCCTTACGACACGCACAAAAAATAATTACTAATTTGAAAATTAAAAAAACACCATCATACGTTATTTTATCCTAAACTGTTAGAAAATAAATAAACTTTTTCTAGACTTTGTGGACCACAAGGCGTAAAGTGGAGAGCCCATTTTGAAAATTTAGCCAAATGTCCATAAAGTAGATAGGACCCAGATGGCAGAAAATAGGCCCATTGTAAAATCATACTCTATATTTCTTTTAAGGCAAAAACCCTCTTAAAGTCCCAAATTTATCCCAAAATAACATTTAAACCGCTAAACTAAAAACAAAGCAAATAACATTTAAACCCTCCAATTCCACCAATGATGCAGATAAGGTTTTCTCACAAATTGGTCAAATGGTATTTCATGTTTAATATCTTCTTGAAAGCTTGAACACCCATGAATGAGAATGTCATATTTGCAACGTTAGTGAAATTCATGGGTTTATCTACATTATTTTTAATTTAAGAACTTAAATACTATTTTGAGATAAATTTAGGGGCTTGAAAAGGGTTTTTTCCTTCTTTTAATTTTGAGGTCAACTTTC